TAATTTCCTTTCCATCGTCATACCTAGTGGAAAGGGGATTCAGCGCTGTTACCAATCTCCTAACGAAAAAAAGAAACAGACTGGACATCATTAGCCGAGGAAGTTTAAGATTAACCCTTACAAAATTGACGCCAAATGTTGATAATTTATTATTAAAGCATCCGGTTCATCCTTCTCACTAAAACTATTGACTTATTGCTTATCTTATTTTATTTATAGTTTATTTTATGTTTATTGGTGTCTGACCAATAAATGCCCGCATTGGGAATAAGTGTCCGCATTGATTTTTTTAAAGAACCCCCCTTCATAGAAAATATTTTTTTTTAAATTATTCTGAAAATTCAAGGATAGGTACACACTAAAATTCGTTAATTTTTTGCCTATTTTTAGATAACTTAAATGTATAAGAAGCGGAATTTAATCAACTTAACAGTGAAATTATTGTAGAACATACGTTTATGTTATAATTAATAAACGAACTGGCTTATTCTACTATTTTAAGTAAAAAACTTTTTTTTATTATTTTTCCCTTTTTTTATTTTATCTCTGTTATTTTTTTCTTTTCATAGAGGGCACTTATTCCCAATGCGGGCACTTATTGGTCAGACACCTGTTTATTTAATGTTACGTATATTTTACATAACAGATATAAAATTTTATTTTGAGTAGTTTTAATTTAAATTCAATTAATAAATGTATAAATTAACATGTGTTTTTACTTTAAATTTTTAACACTAAACTTCACTACAGTTAGAAATTTACAGGAAATCAATATCAGGTAAGTAGAAGGTCTACCCAACACGGAAAAACATGGCAAGGCGTCTACGTCACAAAAAAGTTTGGAGAACTCTGATTTAGATGTTCATTAACTTCTCGTCTAAAATGTAGGGACCACATATTCCGCCTCACATTTAGAGAAACATCTCCTAATAATTGTGGCAGATTTTGTCGAAAAAATTATTTTTACAGCATGCGGATTTTCTACTGGAAATAGTGCACTCCATTGCGTGTAAGTGTGGCCTCATCTGTACACAAAATTAATCTCGTGAAATGTTCCTTTCTGTCGAACTGTTCTAAAAGCCACTGGCAAAAAGCAACTCTTCTAGGATGATCTTCAGGTTGTAACGCTTATACGCTTATATTCGGGGTTGATTTTTCGAAGCTCGGTGATGATTTTTGGCAAACAAATGGTGGTATACCAATCCGCAGTAACAGTTCTTTGCTCATTAAGAGGAATTGTTGCAATTTGACACAAATGTCGCGACCATCTTTTTCGAAACACTTCGAGAACGGATGACTTCTGTTGACTGTTCTTCACCTTGGAACACCCAAACAGCAGGCTGACGTTTATTTTCTGGTTCATAACAGTAAATCCACGATTCATCACCACTAACAATGCTGTACACATTTTTTGAGTTTCCGGAATTGAAACGGTAAAGCGTTTTTTGACACCAATTAACCCTGGCTGCTTTCTGCTCTACAGTCAATCCAACGAGAAACTAATTTTCTTACTCCTAATTCTTCATGTAAAATTTTTTGAATTGAGGTCTTTGAGATCTTCAAGGACGCCTCAACCTCGCGATATGTCACATGTCTATCTTTCTATATGCAAAACTTAAAAGACATCCCTCGTACTACGCATTGTTGGGTCGTCTTCTACCTCTCTGTTCATTTAAATATCCTGTGTCACGAAGTCTAATAACTAAATTTTCAAACGTCCGTGGGGCCGGACGATTTCTTGAAAGAAACCTTTCCGGATACAACCTGCATTTTGCGGCTGCATTTTGTTGGCATTCTCCGTATGTCAGTATTATGTCCTCTATTTCATTGTTTTTGCACAAAATAATCAGACAAATGAAAGTATACGCATTATTAAAAGACTGACAGAACTGGTCGAACCAAAAGCTCGTACTGGAGACCAAACATTAACACAAAAACCAAATTTATATAAACGATAAGAGTAGTAAACATAAAACGCTGAGATTTTACATGGCAGTGGTCGAGAATACCCAAAAACTCTGAGTAATACCATCATTCAATCTTTTACTATGTCTTTTATTATGCAACTATAACATAGGTGATTCTTGAACTTCTTTTGACGAGTTCTACAAGCTGTTTAAATAAATGACTCAACTTTGAAAGCACCCTAAATATACGGAATTTATTTTTTGTGAAATTTTATTCCCCTTTCGCAAAAAAATGGCGAGTAAAATGGAAGTGGTCGGGAATTGGGATATGAAAATTTGTTCATTCCAGTAGTCGGACACAAGATCACTGGCCACAATCCACATTATTTGTTATCTTTTGCTGACCCTCCATTGGCTGGGGCTTCAGTCGCATTTTGGTTTGTTTAATTCGAAGAGAAAAGTTTGATCGTTTCTAAGTTTAGAGAGAAAAAGATAGATTGATAACAACCACGACAAGTGTACTTACTATTCATTGGATTTTGACTATAACCTATTCGTAGTCCATCTAGTCAAGCAGCACAAATATAAATATAATTTTATTGTTATTGACAAAATGGTTAAAACCAAAATAAGACCGTTTTAAGGATACCCCCTTATCACTACAAATTAAATCACATTGAAATGATTTGGGCAAATATACTAAGTGTCATATAAATCCGAACACCCAGTTTAAATGGTTTTATTTTAATAAAATTTTGTATAAGTACTTAATGAAGCATAATAAGTAAATGATAAAAATTTCAAAATGATTGCACTGCTTTAAAGCCCTTTGACCTTTAATAATGTGTGGATGCACCCTGATGTGCTACGCATTCTCCAACGCGCCGAGGCATGCTTCTGATCAGGTGGTCAATGTCCTCCTGTGGTATCTCATTCCAGGCAACCACCTACTCCTCTCGAAGTGCTTCTAGAGTTTGAGGAGGACGTTGCAAATTGAGCAATCTCCTACCCATCATATCTCACACGTGCTCAATTGGGGATAAGTCGGGGTATCTTGGTGGCCATGGTAACAATGTGACATCATTGAAAGAAGTCTATTGTGATTCTTGCAAGATGTGGTCGGGCATTATCTTGTTGGAAAGTTGGATCTGCCAGGGTGTCAAGATAGGGTAAAAGATGGGGTTCTATAACTTCGTGGTTATAACGCTGCGCGTTCATGTTACCTATGATGAAGATTAAAGGTGACCTTGAACCATAAGCTGTAGCACCCCAAACCATAACTCCAACAGTGTGATGAACATGTCTTTCAACAAAAAACTGTGGATTCCTCCTTTCACCACGTCGCCTTCTAACCCTGGCACGACCATCGTGCATGCCTAAACAAAATCTAGACTCGTCACTAAAGACAATACTGTTCCATTCCTGATCCCAGAGTGACCGTTGTCTGCACCACTCAAGGCGATTACCTCGGTGTTCTCGAGTTAAAGGGAGGACCCAGTGTGGCCGGTATGAAAACAAGCCAAAACTTCTCATTCGTCGGTAAACACTTCGCATGCCAATAGGTCTTTCGTGTTCTGCAAACCATTCATTTGCAATGGACCTGGTAGTGGAGAAACGGTCCCTTAAGGCCAATAATCTTAGGCGGCGATCTTCACGCTCAGTTGTTCTACGGCGGCGTCCAGTACCCTTGCTCTTTGCGAACGGCCTTCTCGAAGCCATGCCTGACAACACCTAACCACAGTGTCTACACTTCTTTGCACTCTAACTGCAATTGCCCGAAAAGAAAGTCCAGCTTCCCGAAGTCCTACTATACGGCCCCTATCAAACTCACTAAGTTGACGAAATCGTACAGGTCTCCGTACTCTAGGCATCGTAACCGATCGTAAAGGATGTCAAGAACCAAAATCCGCCAACGTTGATTCTTTACTGCGGCTGAAATATTCATTTTTAGAGCGTTAGTTAATTAAAAAAAAGCAGTATAAAAACCGGAATGTCCAACTGATAAGGCTGAAAATTTTTTCACTTATTATTTACAGTAAGATAAATACATTCACCAACTTTTATTAAAATAAAACCATTTAAACTGGGTGTTCGGATTTATATGTCACTTAGTATATTTACCTCATCAACAAAAAGGAGCAGGAATCATTGATACGACAAAAAACGAAGTTGAAACGAATTTCATTTTGTCGTTTTATGTTCGGGGCTCTGCCGTCAATGGACCGATTTAAAAAAACCTTCAGCCTGACTAGAGAAATATACTTGTAGCTTTCCAGATTAACCCCCGCTCCCCATTGGTATGGGAAGTGAAGACGTAAACTTATGTGAAGATGGTGAATCATGAACAAAAAATCATACTAGGATCAATACAATATATTTAAATTACACAGTTTATAAAAGAAATTGCACACTTATTATATCTAATAGTGTGTAAAGTGATTTGAAAACATATGCATCTTATTAGCGCTTTAAGAAAATATTCCCCTTTATTTCAGAACATTGAAAATGTAACTACATACACAGATCAAACAAGGAACACTTAAGGTAACAGTGTAGTTACCGTTGCCGTATACTATCGGTTTTTATTCTATTTGCATGAAAAACTGTAAGCCGAAACTTACAATACTAGAACAATAACAATAACAGAATAACTACAGCCATTTTTCTAACCGCCAGGCTTACATTTTGTCCCGGCTTATTTCAAGTAGCATCTACATTGGCAGTCATATTTCATACTGGTCAAAAAATGCCCGACTGTCTACTTCTCGGCGAGATTACTTGATCGCATCCTCCAAAAATTAATACTAGTCTAAAATTTGGCAAGGTAATTAATATGACAATCAATCCTCACCTCATCAGAATCAAATGACTTTCCTAAAAAGGTAATCGCTTGAACTTTTAGCTAAGCTGAGGCAAAACAAAAGTGACAATATAATATTTCTAGACCATTAACCTTTTTAGATGGAGTTTTTTTTCTCTACTTTATTAGCGATCAGAGTGTATGTACATTCTATAAGCTAATTTGATGGATGGTACAATTTTTAAGTAGTTGTACCTCATGACGGGATGAAGCAGACATCCAACGATGTCACCTCAGTCTTGCAAGTCTAGTGGCAATTTCCTTTTCAGTCTCCTGGTCTCAGTGGGATCTAATAGCGATGGCAGCAGTGGGTTTGGATGGTCGCTAAGCCTACCATGGTGTTTGCAACTTCTTTCCACAATGACTTCCCTGATGAATGGGATTTTCAGATCCCTATCATCTGCAATGCTTCTAAGGATTTTTGATTGAGCTCGTTGAATGATTGAAAGGTTTGGCTTGCTAGCGCAGCCCCAGAGTTCGATCCCGTAAGTCCAAATGGGCTTGATGATGGCTTTGTATATCAGTAACTTGTTTTCTATGCTTAGTTTTGATTTGCGTCCTATCAGCCAATTTAACTCTTTACTTTTCAAGTCAATCTGTTTTCTTTTCTTGGATAAATGTTGCTTCCAGTTTATTTTGTCGTCCATGTGAAATCCCAGGTATTTAGCACTTGCATGTTGAGGTATGTGACTTGATTCAAGGAAACAGCTGGGCATTGTCCTTTTCGGAGAGTGAAGGTGATGTGCATGGATTTGGTTTCGTTGACTTTGATCTTTTTTGTTCAGCCAACTTCCTATATCGTCTAGGTGCCTCTGTAGTTTACTTGAAGCGTGGTCGGGATCTTCATCAGTTGCAAGAATCGCCGTATCGTCTGCAAATGTGCCAACTGTTGTTTCAGTTGTTGTGGGTATATCCGCTGTATATACGATATATAATAAGGGACTCAGTATGCTGCCCTGTGGGACTCCTGATTTCATAGGGTAGTAGCTTGTCTCACTGTTTACTTTAACTTTGTAGCAGCGGCAAGTAGGATTATAGCAACTTGAGGTACTTGGCTGGCAATACTTTCTTTATTTTATGCAACAAGCCTGGATGCCACACTTTATCAAATGCCTGCTTCACATCTAGGAAGGCTGCCGTATAGTATTATTTTCTTTCGAAGGATTTGGCGATTATATCCGAAAGGCGGTGACACTGCTGCACAGTTGAGTGAGCCGGCCTAAAGCCAAACTGATGATTAGGGATCCAAGCTAGCCGATCCAGTTGGCCATTTATTGTATTCAGGATAAGTCTTTCCAAAAGCTTAGAAATTACTGGCAACAGGCTAATCGGTCGATAAGAACTAATATCCATTAGATTTTTTCCTGGTTTCGGTACCATAATTATTAGCACACTCCTGAAGGACATGGGCCAGTAGTCTAGCCTTATAATCGCATTAAATATATAAAGCAATTTCATCAAGCCTTTCTTGGGAAGTTCTTGTAACATTTTGTCTGTGATCATGTCAGCTCCGGGAGCTTTTTTTATATTTAGCCTGTTTATTTCATTTTGTAATTCCTTCGGAGAGAAAGGTGCTAACCGTTCTTGAGTTAAAAGATGGATGAGATTGGCTTCATCTACTTCCTGCACTGGATCGTCATTGTGTGGGATGAACACTTCGGCAAGGTGTTGTGCAAATGCGTCAGCTTTTTCTTTATCGCTTTTTGCCCATTGACCATTAGCTACTGTTTGGCTACGGATTGGCGGTGATGTAGAATGAGGTTTTCTCTTAGCTTTTATGGGCTTCCATATGGAGTTATCTTGTCTCGTGAGTTGAGATACGTAGCCTTCTACGGAGGCATTCCTCATTTCTTGAAGTTTAGACTTTAGCTTATTACAGCAGGTGTTGTACTTTGTTCGGCTGGCTGGCGTGCGGGTACGTTGCCAAATTGATCGTGCTCTTCTCTTCTCTGCAACTAGCTTCTTTATTTCAAAGGGGATATTTTTTGTTTTGTAAGCACAGTCCATGAATGGTGTGGATTCTTTCGCTGCCTGTTGGAGTGTACAAATAAAGCTATTGCAGTCGACCTCTATATCATTTGGCTGCTTCAATCTGGTTGAGAGATTGATGTTATCTACAATTATCTGTTTGTATCTATCCCAATTTGTTTTGTTATTATGCAATCTTGGAGTGGGTTTCTTACATATCACTGCTGTGCTCAGAGTTAGGGTAATTGGACTGTGGTCTGATGTGAGGTCAAAGCTTGAAGATATTTCTGTATAAGATGAAGATATGCCACTGGTTATGAAGAAGTCTAAAAGATCGGGAAGTCTGTTTACATCTGTAGGCCAATAAGTAGGTGCTTCTGGTGAAATAAACGTGTAGTTGTTTTCTAATATGACTTGTATTATTTCTCTTTCTTTTGTTGTTGTGAGCCGTGAGCCCCATGTGGTATGCTTGCTATTGTAGTCCCCCCCAACAATGAATTTTGGACCAAGAGTTATAAAGAAATTTTTGAATTGCTCTTTTTTGAGGTTATGACGTGGTGGACAGTAGACAGCTGGTACTGTTATATCATAAGGAAGACTGTTTACTTTTACAGATGCTGTCTGGATATGGTTTTCTTCATACTTAGGCATTTCGTGATGTTTGATTGTTTTTTTAATAAGTACTGCAGCTCCTCAACCATCGGGATGATTTGTATTGTAAAGTATACTATCGGGTATAGAAAAACAGCTTCTTTCAGTGAAATGTGGGATTTTTATTTTTCAGTGTTCTGTGGTAGTGTTCGCAGCCTCTATAGTTTGCAGTATGACTGCACATTTTGCTGGCGCATCTTTCGGCTTCTTGCAGTCCTTAGTATTATGGGGACCACCACATTTCACACATAAGTATGGTATGTTCAAATTGTTGGCACCTCATACACTGGATGATATTGTTCTTTCTAGGTCTGGGTGGCTCTATTTGAATAGTTTTATTCTGTAATCCGGTATGATTCTGGGGTTGCGCAGTTTATTTTCACAACATTGTTTGCGAGGCTCTTCGTGATATATTGCTCGTCTTCTAATATGTCTCTAATGGTGTTGACCATTTCCTCGTAGTTGATCACTCCATGAATAAAGATTGGGATTGGAATTCGTTGAGTGTTATTTCCGACATTATCACCTGTTTTGTCTGCTAGGATATCAAGTCTGTTGTTTACAGTTACAGTTTCCGTTGTTTCTTTGTTCTGCTCTTTGGCCTACTTTCCTCCATTTAACGCTTCTCATCACTTGCCACGGGTTATTTCTATTTTGTTGTGAGTCCTCTAATTCTTCTTCACTTGTTGATGACATTCTTAGTATTTGATTATGCTCTATTACTGACACATCCTGACTATGAGTCATTGTTGAGGAAATGTTTTAGACCAGCTGCATAACCGGTGCCACCAGCGCTTGCACTGCTAACTAACGACACTTATTTTGTTTCACGTTTTTACAGCTTTTGTTATGGAACACTTTATTTTATTATTATGATTATATTATTTGTACTCGTACTCGTCGATTCGCTTATCAGCGAAATCCAAACGAGAACTACTTAGATGGAGTGAGGATTGATTTTTATTCCTAATACTATTAACCACCACCATGAAAAAATTTCATTCTGTTGTTAGTTTCTCTGGCCTCACAGTACCTGGGAATTGGACTACTATAGAAGCAAGAATCTCGAAAATGATATAGTTGCCCAACGATATTACCTCAAAGGTTTTTCTACGAAATACATCTACTCACATGCCACAGCTTCACATGTTAGCGTTTTAGAACTAATGGATAGATGCACTCAATAAGGAACTAGTTTGTGCTTAAAAAGTTTGTGTTGTTGCATTATTAGCTATAATTTCCCTTGCTTGTCTGGCCAATAAAACAGCACGTAAATGTTTCAATGACAAAGGTGAACTTCTTCAGTACAATGACAATATCTAATTTATCTGTCTTCCAGGTGACAGTCCGTTTGTTTCTTCTTTTCATTATGATATTCCTATACACTGTGTTACTACATTAGTGTGAAAGTCCCGTGACATGCTAATATTGCGTGACGTCGTCATTCCAACAGCATAGGATCGCCGGGATAGGTATTTTCGTCCCAAAAAAAGGACGTGCAGCACTCCAAATCGGCAAGATACGTCACCGAAAAAATGGAAAAGCCCACCCAGAACTATAGTCGCAACACACTGGTTAATCGTTATGCAATCTTCAACTAAAATGTTGCAACCGAATTGTGTTGTACGAACAGTCACTTGGAAGACAGACAAATCAAGTTTTGTTATTCTACTGAAGAAGATTTGATTTACTACAGTTAAGACGGTCTACCAAAACATGTACAGTATATTCAGATAAGAGATAGACCGGATGTAAACAAAAGGTTCGGGTGATTTTCACGCTAACGCCGCCGTCTCGACGTAAAACAGGAGCCCTCATTGGTCAATTCGCAATTAAATGCCTATGCCGAGCGGCAGAGCAATCGTATCAAGGCAGAGTCACATTCAGGTTCAGACGTGTTACGTATGTCGTGTGCATCATTGCAATTTGATATTTCTTTGGACGTTTTCGTTTGTTATCTTATTAAGTTGTTGAGTTTGTCGTTGTTATTGATTGTTATTGTTATCAACTGCTTGCGCAAAATGCCCAGTAGTAGGTACAGATACTGCCGATGAAGTTGTAAACTCCTGTAGTCCACCTAGGAAACGCTCTAAAAAAAGACACCTGAGTGCAGAAATGAAAGAGGTCATTTTGAATATATATAAGATCGAGCGCGAGGAGAACGAGGCATCAACCATCAAAGAAATTGTTGTGAAGGTTTCTCACAAAGTTGGGGTGTGTCGCGCATCAGTGTTTAATGTGTTAAGACAATACAAAAAAAATCACACCTTTTCTGAGCCAATGACCAGTAAACATCGCAAAAGTATTGTTAAATCATTGGATGAATCTGATAAGCATGCGATTAGGAGGAAAGTGCATGAATTTTTCTTTAGGAATGAAATACCTACTATAGATAAAGTACTGCAGGAGGTAAATGGAGATACAACGTTGCCAAATTTCAAACGATCAACTTTCCATGCGTTACTGAAGCATTTAAATTTCAAATGGAAAAAACGGGGTCGTAATAGTTTACTACTGGATAGAGAAGAAATTGTGCTATGGAGGAGGGATTATTTAACAAAAATTGGGAAATATAGAAATCAAAACAGAAAGATTTATTACTTTGATGAAACGTGGGTAAACGCAGGACACACTACAAGTAAAGTATGGGTTGATGATTCCGTAACTTCATCCAGGAGGGCCTTTCTAGATGGACTGTCCTCCGGATTAAAAATCCAGCAGGTAAATACGAGTAATAGACGGATGTTTTTCAAACCTTGGGAACAAGGTTCTAAACATTAATTCCAGGGGGCAGATAAAACATATTACAAGTAACAAAACTTTTATAACTTTCGATAAAATGCGTGGATGTTTTATTGTCATTTTCATTTGTTAGAACTTTTTTAAGCCATGTTTTTATGTGTTTTCGATATTTCAATAATTTTTTAATATAATCTTAAAATATGTCGAATATTATAAACTTAAAAAAAGCTACTAAGTTTTATATTGTGTACCGTTCCTAATATTTCTAATCATTTTAATTCATACTTTAAGCTTTATAAAGTTATAATTTGTTATTATTAATATTTGCGCGTATTTCAGGTTCCTGATCATTCATTTTTTAAAGGTTTATAACTTTAAATTAAATTGTGAAGCGCTGAGTAATCATACGACGTTCAATATTCTTTCTTTCAATATGACTAAATAATCCCAATTATAGCACTCTGATACTCATGTCTCAA